AAAAAAAAAAAAAAAAAAAAAAAAATGCCGTGATTACAGGCATGAGCCACCGCGCCTGGCCCTACTTATAATCACCCATGGTGATAATCTAGGCAAAATTCTTATCCTTTGAGGAAGGGACTATAGAAAGAAATAATTATGAATATCCTAACTGTACTTCCATGGAAAATAAATTCTTTGCCTTATGCTTTTCATATACAGAGATTTTTTTCATGCTATTACTGATGGTATAATTTTTCTGTAATTGTAATTAAATTCCTGATACGCAACTGTATCCTTTCTTTGCTTTAGGAAAAAAATTTAGACTCTAAATACAGGCCATATTTTGTTTTCCCATCTTTGAAACTGACGTATCTTCCTTGCTAATGGCTAACAGCCAAATTAATAGCCAGTATAAACTATCTTTATTTTTTTTTTATTATTTTTTAAAAGATAAGGGCTAGCTGTGTTGCCCAGGCTGGTCTCAAACTCCAGGGATCAAGCAATTCTGCTGCCTCAGCCTCCTGAGCAACTGGGACTATAGGCATGCAGACCACTGTATCTAGCTTGTATCTTTTTGTGTGTAGACAAACATTGATTCAGGAAATAGTAATCATTGTTATTTACTTTTGATTTTTTGCTAGGTTTGATGTAGGTCCAATTCTTAAACAAGAAACTATTCCTGTGCCACCCAAGAGCACTGCAAAGGAATTGGAAGCAGTGTTGTCACGACTGGGTGCCAACATGGTAAAATTCTCCAATATCCTACTGCTTTTTACTCATTTAGTGGGTTTCCTAAGTGGTTATGAAAAGAAGAACCATTTTGTGACTTCTAATTTTCTTGCAAACAAAAAAGAGTAGTTTCTGTCTTTGGCGTCCTAAAAATTAGCCTGGCATTTGTGATCTTATGTAAATCTTTGAGAATTTTACGAGGAGTAAGTACTAAATAAAGGCTTTCGAGTGAGACAGGTGATCTTATATGGCCTACTACATGTCATAGTGTGGCCTTAGACTATTCTTCCCAATTTCAGTCTTCGCACTTTCATAGGTATACCTTGCATCCCCGTCAGAATGAACTAACAGCAACTTCCTAAATGACTCTTAACTTTCCTTCCATTTCTTTGCCTGGCTTCAGTCATTTATGCTAGAATTCTGCTGACCGTTCTACCTGTAGATGATCTTTCTTCTCTCTGTGGTTTTGTATATATAGCTCACTGAGACTGCATGAGTAGCGTCAGGGTAAATGTTTAATGACTAAATTTATGTTTTCCATATGAACGGGTTAATTTTATACAGAGGAATTTTTTTTTCCCACCTGTATAGATGGTGTTTCCTATTCTAGGCACTTACCTCACAAATGATCTTAATGACAGTGACTGCCATTTATTGAACATTGGCTTGTGTACTACGACTGTTCTAGATACTCTGTGGACTTTTTTTTTACCCTCCCAACTTTGAGGTAGTTGTTGCTGTTGATTGTTTCACAGATGATGATATCGAAGGCCAGAGACAAGCTAAATAACTTTTCCACAATGAGACAGCTGGTAGGTGGTGGAACTAGGACTTGAACCCAGAGCTAGGTGACTCCATAGTACATTCTCTTATGAGATTTCACTGCCTTTTTACCCATGGGGTGAGAGTGTGTATAGCCAAGCACGGGCTCTCCTGATGCCAAAGCTTCCACAGCATTCTCTAGAAGTGAATCAATGACCTGTATCTACAGACAGCAGAATCTCTACTGAGGTTTCCCCAAGTAGACACCTATCCTCACAGCTTAAGCCAATGTACTACCTTGCCCTGCCATGTAGATCTTTTAAAGTTATAGGTTCAGCCTTGAAGAGCCAATAGTAAAGAAAAAAATTTTTTTAATTGAAAAACAGAAAAAGAAAAAAAAAGAAGTTACAGGTTATTTCATGGTACTGAATTGTAATGTGTTTCTGCTTTTGTTCTTATGTTCATTTTGAATATATCACACTCTTTTTTTTTGTAGCTCATTTCAGTTTTGAAAAATTTGCCTGAAAGTCTGAGCAATGGAAGGCAGCAGCCAACAGAGGGGGCGACTTATGGTGAGTGGGGGCTGCAGACTCTCACATTTTTCTAAAGGTTCTGCTTGTCATGATAGCATCTGAACATTCTGACTTCTTAGCTGTACTTTTCCCTTAATTTTGATTGAGTGCCCACTTTTATGTGCTTTTCCACAGAATGGTAGAAAGCATTCTTTCTCCCTCTTAGCATATAGCCTCATGAAGGATTGAACATTTTTTCCCAAATTTTTGATTTTGAAAATATTAAATAGAAAGACTGGTATAATAAACACCAGTTTACCCCAGAGTCAACAATTATTAATGTTTGTCCATATTTTCTTTCTTTCTATGTATTTAGTATGTGTATTTTAAATTTTGCTTATTCATTTGGAAGTATGAATCATGATCTTTCATTTCTAAGTAGTGTGCTTTTCCTAAGAAAAATGAACAATTTCGTAATAGCATCCAATGTTCAGTTCATCTTTAAGTGTTCCTAATTGTCTAAAAATTTATTTTATAGTTGTTTTATTTTTCAAACTAGGATTTAGTTGTAGTTAGTTGTTATGTCTCTTTAGTCTCTAAAAAAGATTCCTCTTTTTTTCCTTGCTGTATGTCATTGACTTTTTGAAGAGACCAGGCCAGTTATTTGATTTGTTTGTTTTCTTCCAGTGTTGTTTAACTTGTTCCCTATCACTTATATTTCCTATAATTAGTTCTAAAGGTTTGGCTAGATTCAGGCTGAAAGTTTTTGGAAAGAGTGTGTTTCAGTGACGTTTGTTTTCTTCTTTTTTTTTTTTTAGTAGAGTTAGGAGTATAAACATTTGTTTCAGTTTTTTAATTTTAGGGATTACTTCTTGTTTTTCTTTATGATTAGATGTTATTTTTTGAATATATAAAACATATAGCTGATTCAAAAATTAATATACCTAGAGAAGTCTTACTTTTGTCCCCTGCAGTCTTAAGGTACCACTTGAGTAAGCCAAGGTATCAGGTTGTACTAAAGCAAGTGAAGCTAAGTTTGATCACTTGGTTGAGATGGTGACCACCAGATCTTTCCAGTGTTAAGATGTGTTTTCCCTTTTGCAATTAGCGGGTAATCTGTGGGGTAATACTCTGGCACGGTGCAGATATCCTGTTCACCAACAACCTTTCACATGATGGTTTTAGTACAGATTGATATTCCTTGCCCAAATGAATTATTTCACTATGGATTACAAAATGGCAATTTTCTAATTCCTTTTACGTTTAATAGCTGGTATTGTTCTGGAAAGAAGAGTTTTTCCTCATTAATTGGAGATGAATTTTAGTTAATCCTAAAATGGGGACAGGGGCTTAATTCTTTCTCTTTAATTAGCATAAGAAGTTGATGCCATTAATTGCCTTCAGTTTTGGTGTCAGATGTGTTCTTTTTAGTATCATTTGACACGTAGATTTTCACTGATTGTGTTTTACAGTCATAATTCTTTGTATTGATCAAATTTCCCATATTTGCCCAGTGGGAGCCCCTTAAATTTGGCTCCTACATTCTGTTAACACTCTTTATTTCCCACTAGTTTGGAGTGCTTCCTTGCTTCCACCACAGTAATGTCCCAGGCTCCCCTGTATGTCCTCTGGCCCACATTGAAATCTACCAGTGTGATTTCCAGGGAGCTCTTGTTCATTTTAGTGGGGTCGATAGTTAGAGATCATCTGATACAACAGTGTGTGGCAAGATAAGATATCAGTGGACAAAACTAGAAATTACATTTTAAAAAAATATTTAAGCTTACATTGTTTATGATTCAAATTTATCATTAAAGGGTTTTCCTTATATTTTCTCACACTATCTTTTTTTAAATATTAACCTATTTATTTGCTATTCATAACATCGTTTCAGCATTACAATACCAATATTACTACTAACAGTAAAAATAGTAAGATTTAAGATTTCTTTGCAGTTTTCCTTTTTGAGCCTTAGAATATATCCTAAGGATATACAGTCAGATTACTGCCTTCAAAACTTCCTGGTAATGGTTATTTTTTCCATGTGGTTTTGTTACCTAGTTTCATACATAGTTAAGTTTCAGTTGTTTTTTTTTTATTTTTTTATTTTAAGGGTTGCTTTATTTTCTTTTATGATTAAATTTTATTTTTTGAATGCATAAAATGTTTACATGCTTCAAAAGTTAAAACAGCTTAGAAAGGTATACTCATAGAAGTCCTACTTCAGTCTCTCTATCTCATCTAACCCGTATTCCTCCCTCTATAGGTAACATTTTTATTAGTTTCTGATTTAGTCTTCCAGTGTTGCCTTTTGCCAAAATAAGCAAACACATACATAGTGTTATTTTTTATTTTTCCTTCACAAAAGGTGGCATAAAATACATATTCTTCTATGCCTTTGTTTTTTCACTTAATAGTGTATCTTGGCGACTACTTCCTATTAGTAAGAAGAGATTTTCCTCTTTCTTGCTTGCTTTTTTTTTTAGATAGAGTCTCTGTTACCTAGGCTGGAGTGCAGAAGTGTGGTCATGGCTTACTGCAGTCTCAAACTCCCAGTCTCAAGCAGTCCTCCCACCTCAGCCTCCCGAGTAGCTGGGACTGCAGGTACATTTCACCATGCCTGGCTAATTTTTTAATTTTTGTAGAGACAAGTTCTAACTATTTTGCTCAGGTTGGTCTTGAACTCCTAGACTCAAGCTATCCTCCTGCCTTGGCCTCCCAAAGGCATGCCTGGCTTCCTTTTTGTTTTTTTATGATGGCATAGTTCTCAGTTAGGTGAATGTATCATAATTTGCCCAACAGATGTCTGATTGATGGGCATTTGGGTTATTTCTAATCTTTTGCTATTTCAAATAATAGTACTAGTAAGATTAGGAAGATAACATGCACATAGTTATTTGTAATAGTATAGTAAAACTACGTGGAGTAGTTTTAATGTACCTTATTCCTGTCAGTAATGTTGAAGATCTTTTCGTATATTTAAGAACTATTTGCATTTCTTTTTTCTGGGTAGTGTTATATCTTTTGCCCATTTTCCTATCAACATTTTGGTCTTTTTCTTTTCTGTTTTTTGAGTACTTATATTTCATAATAGAGATATTAGTTCTCTTTGAGATAATTTGCAAATTCAGTTTGTCATTTGTTTTTTGATTTAACTTATGGCATTTCTTTTTGTCTCATTAAAAAAAAAGTTTATTTTGGCTAGGCATGGTAGCTCATGCATCTAATCCTAGCACTTTGGGAGGATGAGGCAGGTGGATCACTTAAGGTTAGGAGTTCAACACCAGCCTGGCAAACATGGCGAAACCCATTCTCTACTAAAAATACAAAAAATTAGCCAGGCATGGTAGTGCATGCCTGTAGTCCCAGCTACTCGAGAGGCTGAGAGAGAATCTCTTGAGCCTGGGAGGTGGAGGTTGCAGTGAGCTGAGATCATGCCACTGCACTCCAGCCTGGGTAACAGCAAAACCCTGTCTCAAAAAAAAAAGTTTAGTCTCATTTCATAGTTAGAAGGGTATTTTCTACTCCCAGGATGTGAAGAAGTTCACCCATGTTTTCTTTTAGTATTTATGTGATTATTTATGTATTATTTTTACTTGATATATGGAAAATTTTGAACATATAGAAAAGTCGAGAGATTAGAATGAATTCTCTGGTATCTCTTACTTAGTATCAATAGCTATCAATTCATGGACATTGACCCTGAGGTTCATTTTTGCTCTTGGCTTTATCTTGTAGCCCCTAAGATTTCTGCTGGTACCAGTTGTGTAAAATGGGAGGAACAAACTTCAGAACAAATATTCAGACTTTACCGTGCCATTGGAAATATAGTAAGTTGGGAAGTCAGGTTGCAGTTTTGCCTAGTTGGTTTTCTATGTGTGTAATTTGCTTTCTAAATATTTTTATTTAGGAATAATCCCAAATGTATCCCAAATAAAAGGTTTATCTTAGGAACAAAACCTAGGAAACCTGAAATTTATTCTTAAAAATTCTTTCAAGTGTTTAAAGTGTTTATAGAGACCTTAGAATTCACAAAGCACTTTTAAATATATGTATATTGCAGTTTCACATAACCAAGTTTTACTATCCTACTTCATAGGTGAGGGGAAAGAAAATGAGATGACTAACAGGAATGTCCAGTCACTAAATAATGAACTTAAATCTTCTCACTCCTAATCCTGTGTTTTTTCCAATATGTCTTTCTGCCTTTGGCCAATGTTTTACAATCAGATTGTTAAATCATTGATTTCTACATATGGTACACCAAGTGTAGTAATATAACAGTTTGTTCAAATGTCTGAGTTAAATTCTCAGTTCATTGATAAATTTGTGGGGGTTTTTTCTTTCATTTCAATAGCTACTTGTGTTATTTGAACACTGGGCTTACCGTGTGTGTGTGTGTTTTGTTTTATTTTTTGAGACAGGGTCTGGCTCTGTCACCCAGGCCTGGAGTACAGTGGCAAAACCTTGGCTCACTGCCAGCTCTGCCTCCCAGGCTCAAGTGAGCCTCCTGTGACAGCCCCTGAGTAGCTGCAACCACAGGCGCACACCACCACACCTGGCTAAATTTGTCTTTTTTTGTAGAGACGGGGTTTTGTCATGTTGCCCAGGCTGGTCTTGAACTCCTAAGCTCAAGTGATCCGCTCTCCTCAGCCTCCCAAAGTGCTGGGGTTACAGGCATGAGCCACTGTGCCTGGCCAAGTGTGTGGTTTTTAATGGACCGTCCCTGTTATTAATGTTGGGTAAAATGGGGAACGACCATTGGATATCTATAGCATGCTAAATTCTTCAATAAGGAGGATCACAGACTTATGTTAT